TTAAAAAAAATTGATAACCTACCTACTTGAGCACCTAACTACTTAAACTAGGTTGCCAAATCACGAATGATCTGGTGGTTTGATCGCAGACAGGCGACTCTGAACCTTTCCAGCGTGGAAGTCTTTCGCTCCTCGAGTGTTTGAAGACCGGCCAGGTGGTGAATCTCAGAATTACGAGTTCGCGGTGGACTGTTAAGGATCATTCTGAGGATCTTGTTTTGGATCCTCTGAAGCTTTAAGTGGTGGCACTTAGCACAACTCTCCCAGATTGGCATACCATACTCAATAGCCGGCAGAATGATTTGCTTGTGGACAGCAAGCTTGTTTTTGAGGGACAGGGTGGACTTCCTGTTGATCAGAGGGTAGAGCGACCTGATCAAGATGTTACACTTGGTGGATGTCTTGTCCACATGGGATCGGAATAGCAATTTGCTATAGAGGGTGAGACCAAGGTAGACTACTTCACTCGACCATTCAATGGGAGTGCTATCAAGATGGATCTTGACGTTAGCAGGCGGAACAAGCCGAGGTGAATACGAATGTGGAAACAGAATGGTTTGTGTTTTAGCTGCATTGATACAAATCTTCCAGCTCTTAAAATAGTCGGACAAAACATCCAGGCCTGATTGTAGTTTACTCGCCAGAGCACGGATCACTCGACCCTTATAGATGATGGAGGTGTCATCTGCGAACATTGACAGGATACCACCACCCGGCAGGGGAGGAACGTCTGACGTGAAAATGTTGAATAGGATAGGCCCAAGCAGGCTACCCTGAGGGACCCCTGCATCAACGTTGAACGTATCAGAGGAGACATTGTTCAAGTAGACCTGGAATGATCTGCCCGACAAGTAGTTTTTGATGATCTTCACGAGGTAGATCGGAAAGTTGTATCGATGCAGCTTGTACACTAGACCATCATGCCAGACATTGTCGAACGCCTTCTCGACGTCCAACAATGCCATGGCAGATGTATTGGAAACGGACTTGTTCCGCTTGATGATGTTAGTAACCCGTGCGAGTTGGTGGATGGTAGAGTGGCCTTTCCTAAACCCGAATTGCTCTTTGAGAAAGATGTTATTATCATTTGAAAACACCAGCAGACGGCTGAGTATCAATTTTTCGAATAGCTTCGAGATGGAGGACAAGAGGCTGATGGGGCGATAGCTTTTGGCACTGGTAGGGTCTTTGCCAGGTTTGTGAATTGGAATAACTTTGGCTAACTTCCAGCATGCAGGGAAGTAGCCAAGCATTAAACACTTGTTGAAGACCACTGCAAGGTGCTTGAAGAAGTCAACACTCAAGTTTTTCAGCTCGAGGTTGACCACTCCATCGACACCAGCGGCCTTCATGTTCTTTGTTGATTTAATCGCTGCTATTACCTCATCAGCCGATATTCTACTTTCATCAGGGACAACTACGGGGGTGGCAGCGACACTAGCCATTGCCTGTGATACTGCAGGCTCGTGGGGACTCACCATGGCGTGGCCAAGGTTATGTGAATTTACAAAGTGTTGTCCAAGAGCATTGGCCTTTTCAAATGGGGTTATTAGTAAAGATGGGTCCGAATTTTGGTTAGGAGAGGAAAGGGGAGGAATGGGCCTCGGCTTATTTTTCAAAATCTTTGCCATTTTCCAGAATGGCTTAGCACAATCTGGGAGAGAGCGAATCTTGTTTGCAAAATCGATATTTCTGAGATCCACCATCCTGGCTTGGATGATTTTGTTCAAACGGTTGCAATTGGTCTTCAGGTTAGGCAGCCCAGTACGCTGGTACTGCCTACGAATCGTGTTGCGGAGTCTAATGAGGTCTTTAGTAGGCCTGTCAAGGTTCAGAGTATTACTCACCTGTCTGGATACTGGCACATGTAGCTCCCTGGCCCGGGAAATTGCTTGATCGATGGAGCGCAGACACCGGTCAACATCTTCGGACGATTCCGGTTGGACATCGTAGTCTACAGCGGTGTCGACGCAATGTTGGAACTGACCCCAGTCAACACGATGATAGTTGCGCCGGAAAGCTTCAAATCGATTTACGGAGGATCCCACCTCAGTCACCACCGGGTAGTGGTCCGAGCTGAGTTCCTGATAGGTGATAGGTTGAGCGATGTTGTTGCCCATGTTGCTGATGAAGATATCGATGGTAGCGTGAATACCGGACCGACTCAACCGGGTGGGAGTTTCCGGACTCAAGATGTTGTACTGCGCTTCCTGCAGGTCGTTGTTCAGGATGGTGCCGTTTTGATTGCGCCGATTGTTGCCCCAAGCTTGATGTTTGGCGTTCAGGTCGCCAGCGATGATAAAGTTTTCCCGTCGTCGTGTTAGCTTGATAATATCTCGTCGCAGATCTGCTGCCGATCCGTCCCTGATGTTGACTTGTTTGGGGCAGTAAGCCGCGACGATGGTGATGGGGCCGATAGGAGTAGAAACTTCCACCCCTACGGCTTCGATGATCTTCAGCTGAAAGCTGGGCATCAGTCGACAGCAGATGTTTCTCCTTATTGCAATAGCCACTCCTCCTCCTCCAGAGTTGGTTCGATCTAGCCTCACGAGCCGGAAATCGGGAAGGTAGACGTTTGTTTCAGGCTTCAGGTGGGTTTCAGTTATGATGGCAATGTCGATGTTTCGTTCATTGAGAAACTCAACAAACTCGATGTTTTTGCTCTTCAAGGAGCAAGCGTTCCAATTTACGATCTTGATGGCTTCACGGTCCATACTTAGTGACAAGGGACAGGGCAGCATGTAGCTGTTCAGATCGAGTCTTGCAGGTGCGCAAGATGATGATGACCTCGGCCACGAGCGTCACAAGTTCCTCCGAGGTGAACGGAGAATCGTCGACAGGCTCACCTGAGACAACACCAGCGTATGATAAACCAGGGGCGGTGGAGGGACCTGGCATTGGCTGGGCAGCAGCAGCAGCGAGACGATGCTGGACTGTTCGATTGTTAGGAATACTCACATGCTTGACTTGTTGGTTGTTGAGCGGAAGTGGTTCTAAGTTCGGAACATGTCGACGGGGTTGGAGAGCTGGGTACTGGACTTCCGTGCGTGCAGGAGGCGAACGATGATTACGGAGGCGATTACCGGGCTGATTATTGATCGTAGCCTTCCGACGGATATTGATGAACTCCACTCGCTTGGGACATCCGCGATTGGAGGCTTGGTGGTTACCACCGCAGTTGACACACGTTGGCTCGATGTCATCATCTTGCTCACAGGACGCAGTCGAGTGAGTTCCAGCACACTTGCCGCAGATAGTCTTCATATGGCAGTTTTTGGTGCCATGGCCGTAGGAGAGGCAGTTCATACACTGCGTAACATCACGATGTTGGGATTTGTAATGTTCCCAACTGATGATGACCTGAAACAGGTCCCGGATTTTGGATCTCAGAGCCGCTAGACTGGTGGATCCCTTCGTGAAGTGCACCAGGAACAACTGGTCACGGAAGCTGGTGTTGTGGTTGGAACGCCGGTTTATTGGGAACACCGCCTCAGGTTTGAGCCCAAGCCGCTCCAGCTCGGACTTAACCACAGCCGCCTCGAACGACGGTAATCCACGCAATACCAGCTTCAGTGGCTTGCTCGATGGCAGATCGTGCGTGAAGAAGTCAACGTTGTTTTCCTTTAGGAAACATCCTGTTTGATTGTACTCCTCCAGGCTGGAGCACATGATTTTGGTGCCGATGCTGCAAAGCTTGAAGCGAGGCAGCAGCTTGTGTTTTGCCAGTTCGGCACGCAGCTTGGCAACATCCTTCTCCGGCGTGAAAAGCGGGGGAATCCGCTCTCTTGCAGCGATGGGAACGACGTCACCATCGTCATTTTCTTCGGGGAGCACCGCAAACTGGTTGGCTTGCAGTACCCGTTTTCCGGCGTCATCCTGCGACGCGCTGTGCTGGATTACCACCTTCTTTGAAGGGCCCGCTGCTGAATCATTGGTACGTTTACGCACCATTTGTTTCGTGTTGGCAAGTTGTAGTAAACTTGCCAGAACGCGCGAAGGTGGCGACGCTTCCACGGCGCAACGCGACAGCACAAACCGAATCGAAGCGAGAACTCGAGCGAAAAAGAAAACGAACTGAACAGCTCAACAGTCGAGCAAAGAGTGACAGCCATCCGACTCTAATTGAAAGGTCCCGCTATTTATACCCTTCGGAGTGTTGGAACACCCTCCGCGCCCCTTTGTCAGTCAAAATTGGATTCCTTAGCAACAAAATTAAACAATGACACCGATAATGACTATGTAAACTAGGGAACAACGAATAGAAGATTAGGAATCACATAGGTAGATGAAGACTAACTAACTCATTTCATCCTCGGTGGACAAACCAAGCACGATGTGTTTTGTAGTAGAAAAACTTCAACATAAAAAATTCGGCAAGTCTGATATTTGCACACATGTAAGAATAGTTTTTTTTTACCTGCGGCGCCGGTGGTGTAGTGGAAACCGTGATAATCTCTCACCCCAAAAGGCCTGGGTTCAATCCCAGTCGGCGCCGCCGGGATGTTCTGAGGCATAACATCTCTGATCACGCCTTCCTTCGGATGGGAAGTAAAGCCGTTTGTCCCCGGTTCATGAGTTGATGGGTCGATAGGTAGGGTCCAGGTGTGGGAGCTGCCTCCCTGGCGTCGGTAGCATTGGAAAACAAATCAAGGAAAAAAAGGTTTTTACCTATCATTTGCGACCTCGATTGAAATAATCGGTCTAGAGCAACTTTCTTTAAGTTTTTTAGCATCTAAACTATGGTTTTATAATGGTAGCTTTTGAATATCCAAGACATTGGTAGTAAGAGCCCTCATCCCCCTTTTTGATTAAAAAAGGGAAAGCAGAGCGGTGGAAACATGTAAAATAGAAGAGTTGGGAAGCCGAGGTAAGTAGAGAAGTCGGAGTATAAGTAGGCTTTTCGATTAAATATAATTAAAAGAATGTATTCAAGTAACAATATTACGCTTATGATTATTTGCAGTTAAAGGTGTATTTAAATATCAAATTTATATACATTTTTTTTGCTTTATTAGAGAGATTTTCAGCCTTGGGAAATATCAAATATCAAATATAGATTAATCATATGTTGTTCGGATATACTATATTTTTTACAAATGAGCACTGTTGTATAAAATCACAGAACGCAGCAAATGATCATCGTAATGTTCTGACGTCTCTGGAACTTTCATCTTCTGCCATGTTAGTCCAAAATCAAAATGAACAGTTTCGCACGCCTGTTCACTATATAGCCCCAACCATGATCCTACACACTAATAACTAATGTTACACGTGACGGAATTCATCTTTGACATTAAATATGAGACGTAAACAAACAAGTCAAGTAATATTAAGTGCTCCGAGACTGAAAAGTTTTTTGATTGAGCTATATATCGCATTTGTTACGACTCAAATTTATGTCAAAATTGACGCTCGTATATGTCACTCTCAGAGCACCTAAATTTACATAATTTTTTCTAAGTGTGTACAAAGTTGCAGAACTCTGGAACATGGAAGCGTAAGATATGGAACTTGGAGTTATTTAGTAGTCCTGCCTGAATCCTAGACCTTCCGACCGATTATTTTCAATGAGGTCACAAATGATACCCAAGTAGCATTTCTTGTTTTATTGCACTCTATTAGTGGTTTTTGAGATCAATTTTATAAAACCGTCAATAAAATTAATAGCTTCAGCACAACCTTTTGATAACCGCTATAAGATCGTCTTCCAGCTTAGTGGACCACTCTTGATAAGGTTTATAAAGCATGTTTGAGAATCACAATAAAGCTGTCTTAAAACCTTTTGTAAGAAAGCCCCATACTCTACAAAAGGTTCTCATAGCCTCTATAAGAGTAATATTGTATCCAAGCAGTTTTATTACGCTTTGGTGAAAATCAGTTCTAAATCCAATTTAATTTTTATTGCATCAAAGCATCCGCCATAAATTAGCTTGTTGTTGTTCTGCTCTGCTGAACCTTTTTTTTCATATGGTAATCTTTAGCTGTAAAAATATGTTTGAGTGTTGGTGTCAGGATCACCATACAATCAATTTTGTTTCATGGCGACATTAGTGAAAATCTTAAAGAAAATATATGACTGATGGGATTTTCATAATGACAATATGGCGACAGAGGACAGCAGACAAGAAAAACACCAAGCGCAATTTCTTAAAATGTATAATGCTTACTTTTTTTTGCTTTATTAGAGAGATTTTCCCTAATGCTTACATTGGATGGCAGCAGCATACAGAAAAGCATAATGCATGATTTTATTTCGAGCACTATTTTCTTTTTACAAGAGCAATTCATTTTTTTTATTTGAGAGTAAACGTATATTCCTAATCTACGGGTGCAACCGATGAATTTTACAAACATTTGGGAAAAGTTTTGAATGGTACATTAAACTTTATGAAAAGTTATGCGTGATTTCAACTTTTTTGTCCTAGAACTGTCACCATTCTATGTATTTCGACCATGATTCGACAGTGTCACCCCATGAAAAAAAGGAAAGAAAAGGAAAAAAAAATTTCAATGCTTATTTGTTGAATTGTTGTGACCATCCACGACTGTAAATCTGATAAGAGACGCATGTTGGCATAGGTATCATCCTCCGACTCCCTCTTCATGAGTCATTTTTGGTGTAGCAATGTGTCCATTCAAAGTGAAGAATGGTGAGGAGGCACACTCTTTACAGCTTCCTTTGTGACATCCGCAGAAAATGCGGCATTTTTTTTTCTTTGTTGGAGTTATTCACGAAGGTTTGCGGCTGACTGTAGCAAATAAACGGGCTCATGATAAAAAATTTGTTAATTTTCTTTGCGCTCCGCTTGGAAGTACCGGAAAGTTTTGATTCTTTCTATGTTGTAAAAATAAACCGCCCATTTACACTTCTGACAAGTTGCAACTGAATGCTTGTAATTGTTTTTTAAATAACTGTTTCATGGCCAGCTAGTTTTATTGCGCTTACTTATAAAGCAATAAAAGGATTTATTTTTGGGTTTTATAAAGGCAATTTATATTGCTTTTTTTATACTTCAAGGCAATCCTAAAACCTTCCATAAGTGAAAATAGTATAAGCATCAGTTGATTTTTTTATTTGCTTTATAGGGGTTTTGTAGATAGCTATGAGAATGTTCCATGACTTGCATTGTATATATGCGCCGCTGTGTACATGTGTGCTCTTGAAGGAGAACAAATATTGACAAAGTTTGTTTTCCCAAATGCATTACGCCTAGAAAATCATCTCGTGATGGTTTTATACGAAAATATACATTCAGGAAAAACTTACTTGTACGCTGCAAACCATTGTAATAACTGCCATTACATTTATTTTATGGCACATATGTAGAGGATGTAATATATCCGACCTTACATTGGATGTAAGAGAGATTTATGTTGCGTGTACAAGTATCAAAAAGCGCTCGATTTAATGTATCGTTCTTCTAGCTTAATGGGACGGTGCAATAATGTCTGGCGAAAACACTGCATGTTTTTGTGTATTTGCCGTTTATTCATGTAATGTGATATAGATAATGCTGAAACAGAATCAGTGATTGTTAAATTTCAATAAACATCTAGCATGTGATCAGTATTACTAGGTAAATAACGTTTGCTTATGCAAATTTGGTCTGACAACTCAAGGTTGAAGAAGGGTTTTCAGACAAACAGAATTGATGATCAAAATATTATTTTTAGGAATTTTGGATAAATATTATGCTTCCCACAGATCATTTCTAAATATTTGAGATACTACTGAAATTGTCTATAATTTATAATATAGTGTCTGGCACCATTGTTGTACCAATTTAATTGCATTACATAATCTTGTGAATAACATTAAGTCTGTTCCCGTACTTGCTTTTCTGCTTTTGTTGTAGACTACTGAAATTTTCTGTAAGAAAATAATATGGTACAGCAAGTACGGGAACATGTTTTTGCTTACAGAAAATCAAGTACGGGAACAGACCATGCTTGGAATTTTGCTTTTTTACCAAACATATGACAGAATCTGATTTGTACTATAAACACAGACAAACAGACATCACACATAGAATCAGTGTTGAGAAAATATCAAAAAATCAAATCTCACCAACGCCCAAGATCACGCTTGATTTTCGTAGACAAAAATCAACAAGCAAACTACTGCTGTTGATTTTGCAAGCTGTGATATCGCAGCTCGGAATATCAAGCTAACAAAACTCACCAACTGCAAATCTCACCAAACTGTGGTGAGATTAAGTTTAATGATTTTTGCTTTACACCCGAATGCAACCGAAACTTCCATAACGGCTTGCAGCCTAGCTTACAGCAGTCCCTTCGCGTCTGCCATCGGTGAAGATTAAAAAGGGATAGCAAACTATGCTTTCTCTTTCTAAGAAAACGATGTGCAATAGAATCATGTTTGTGTCGAGTCAGCTCTCAGCTTGATGTTTGCACGTTGTGAATAGTCTCGCAATATCAACGGAGCTTGTAAAATCAATATCAAGCATGATATTTTGTTCCAATATCACGCGTGATATTGCGAGCGCATGAGAGCGGAAAAATACCAATTGATATCTGATTTTACCAACACTGCATTGAATATTGTTCACTGTAAAACATCGTTGCTAGAACACTACTGCCACTGTGTTGAGTACATTCACTGTGGTCCGAATTGGCAATTTAGCGAGAAAAAAAATATTTACTCCGTTTCTGTTCATTTTAGGAGGTTATTGCCTATATAGATGTTTTTTTTATCAAATTTAGTCTTTTAAAGAGTTGTTGGAAAAATTCTGGCGCATATTTTTGCTTAAAAAAATATTGTGGTATAAATTAACATTATAATGTTATGGGTAATGTTAATCCAAAAAATATGCGACCTTAAAATGTTGATATCTCAATTTGTTGGATAGAAAATTTTATTCTTGATAGGGCATATGCAAGGCGACTTATAACGCATAATGTTATCGAAAAATGTTTCGTTATGTGTGGTCTTTCAGATGCCGTACCAAGAATAAAATTATCTATCGAATTTATAAAATAATGTACTCATGACAAAGTTTGCATAGATTTCACTTTCGAAATCCTCAACAGCCGTACCCTCGGGTTCGGAGTCATAGTCAAGGAAAATCAATTCAAATAAATGAAAATAATGACCTCATCATGTTCCACGCCGGTCAAAAGCAATTTTTGCAACGGTAACATTCTCCGTTTAATGCATTTCGTTTTTATTCCGGTTTGACACGAGTTCCCTCCCTAAAATTAGTTATTGATTCCAAAGGCCCGTTTCTTCTATTCGTTTTACTCACGCTATTTAGAATCACATTCCGTTATTATTTTTGCCGCTTCGCATCGGCCAACAGAGGGCATGATTTCCATATGCATCATCATGTGCTGTACAACGAAATTGAAATGGCCACAAACGGATGCAATGTTTGAGAAGGGGAAAAAACATTCCATTGAACTTCGTTCCAAACATTTCCAGCTTTCATGACTCAAGGTTGCACTCGACTTCAAAATAAGGGCCATTGCTTGATGTGAAACGGAAAGCTAAGCTGCCACATTTTTGCCAACTACGTAGGACGTGTTGTTTCGAAATGGGAAATGGGGATGATGGGACAAACGTGAAGAGCACCAACAACAACAACAAAAACAACAACAAAAGCCTTAAGCCTTGGCAAGGGGATGAATCAAAAATGGTCCATATTCCATTAATTTGTGAATTCATTTCAAAATTGAAACCACGCGAAATGGTATCTTCCCGAAGAGGATTATACGTACAAATTTTCCGCTTGGGAGGAAAAAATCTGCTTCCTATCAGGATTCACCGAAATTTTGTCAGCACTTTTGTCTGTGTAGTTATTTCTATGAATAATGAGAAATGTTCGCCCTCAACGGCTGATATGATGAATGGGTGGAAAGCTGCAGGATAATGTGCTTCATGGCAGTGAGAGATATACTAGGCGGAATTTTCTCTAGTTGTTATAAATAGATTTCTTGGATAAACAGTTCGAATGGCAGAGGAACTCATGTGCTTCAAGTTGGCGAA